CCAGATGAAGGTGTGAGGACTTAGAGAGAGTGAGTGTGTTTTTTATTCAGGTTTTTCACATCACGGTATTTTACAACTTTCAGATTTTTTTTTTCTTTTTACCAAATTGCAAGTGTTATAGATAACCAGTGATATGTTAATATGTGAGTAACTGGACATTCCTACTCCCTGTCAAACCACTTTGACAAAAATCCATTTGCAGTTGAAAGTATATAGAAAGTCATAGAAAGTCAATGTCTTTAATGCAGGAAACGTGTGGAACAGTCTTTGTTCACTGTTGCAGCTTCATTGTTCTGGTCCATATTCAAGTCTTAATCCTTACAGATACAATTTGATGGTTGACATTTATATTTACATTTTTCNNTCCTGCTGAGAAAATGCCATATTTGTAAGTCACCAACATTAGAGTGAAGCAGCAATGAAATTCAAGCTGACAGAGTAAATTTTTGGTTGATAAAGGACAGCAGGCAGTTGCCTGGCAACATGTAAAACAGGAGGAAAAACTTTTGACATGTCAACATGTAACACTTTACGCTACATGCAACGTACTATTGTAATTGGCATTAACATCTGTTCACATGATTATTAAGAATCAGATGTACAAAAAAAACACAAATATTGATTGTTTAAAAAAAAAATTATTCCATGCGTTGTTTTTTGTTTTGTTTTCTTGTATAGATAATACAATACACATGCATGCTACATGAGCTTATTCAAGAACCTTCAACACAATGTTTTACAACTCAATTTCTTATACACAGTCCATGGAAACACATGACCAAATTGTGATGTGCTTAAAAAATGCTAAAAGTTCCTCTTTTTGGTGTATTCATGTGTGTATTTGACACATACTTCACAAACTTCTAACTCTAAGTAGTTTTTTTGTGTGTATGCGATCCGAGAATCTCTACTTCTATTCTTTGTTTATGCACATTTTGACTTCAGATCAATAACGAAGATTTCAAAAGGCTAGTAAAGCAAGTTATTGAAGGATCGGTAATGCAATATAAAATGATATGAAATGCCCTCTGGCTGCTAGTTAAGGATAAGTAAAGTAATTAAAGTAAAGTAAAGTAATAATGTTGTCTGTGGCCATCATTTGAGTGACAGTGTGTTATTTTAAGTCGCGTGTAAATGCCATTTAAAGGTTATGTTAGCATCAACATTTCCGGTTTAAAAGCAGACTTTCTGATCACTTAATTATATTGTTTAAGGGTAAAGGACATTTCTTTGAGAGAAAGGCAGTTCACGTCTATATACTGTATGAGCTGAATTTAAAGCAGGCAGAAAAAAGATGTTACTTCTAAACTTTTCCTCGACCCATAATTGCTCTGTGCATTTTTTTTATTTTGCATCTACAGAGATAGAAGCACTTAATGAATGCTCAAGGGAAAACTCAAGTACACATCACAGCCATTACCACATCAATGGAGACTGACTTAGAGTAAAAAAAACAAAACAAATTGAAATATTATTAAGAGCCTGGTATTATTTATTTATCTGTACAAACCACTGTAAGAGTTTCTGACACCAGCATTCTACATACAATCCCCTGATTATCAATATAGATTAATAAAATGAGCTACAATGCTGCCATCTAGTAACTAGCAGCTTGTTTGGGCAGTCCCATAGTGTAGCGGTTATCACACCTTCCTCCGAAGCAGAGAACAGTGGATCTTGGGTTCAATTCCCAGAGAAACCACATGCTTGGCGTTTGCTACGGGCAGCCTGTTAACATCATATCTGCTTTTTACACGAACATTTTCCAAATATGGGATCAATATAGTTCAAATTAATTTAATTATTATTTATTTGTTTAGCATTGATTATGTTACTGTTCATTTGCTATGTAGGAGTTACCAGTTTCAGGTATGGGTGTTGGGTCAGGAGATGTGGTGACAGTGCACATGTGCGTGAGGAAGAGAGAGTGCTGAAAGTGTGAGAAAAGGAAAAGGTGTTTGGATAAGCTGTGTTGAGAGCAATACAATTGTTTAGAATGAGGCACCACAATGGTGTTTCATTCAAGTTCACCTCACAACCACCTGACTGATCTGTCACTGGGGCATTAAACTATTTTTAGAGCAAACATCATTTTTTGCGAAGCCCAGGCATTGTGTTCTCAATATCGTAGGAAAACGATTCTTAGAGATATTACATAATTATGCTCATATCTGATCTATTATCAAACATCACTATCAGTAAAGGTAGGTAGAGAAGCAGCAGATAAAATGGAACAAACATGTTTAAACATGTGACATGTGAACCCTAAAAACATATACCATTTTACATTGGTGTGTGGTGGCAGAATTCACAGTTGATTAGAAAACTGCCTTAGCAGCTATAGGTCTGAAATACCTAGCAAACTAATTAACAAAGTAACTGACTCTTTACGGTGCCTTTATGTAATTACCATATTTTTCGGACCATAAGTCTCTCTGGGGTATAAGTCTAGTGACTGTCAGTGTGAAAATAACGAACATGTAAATTTTCAGTGATACAGGAGTAGCAGATACTGGTACACAAGAAGTACCCTTTCGTGGCTGTTAGTGTGAAAATAAGAAACATGTAAAATTATATATTTTAATATATAAGTTGCACCTGAGTATAAGTAGCAAACCCAGCCAAAGGATAAAAAAAAGTGTGACTTATAGTCCAGAAAATACGGTACAAGTTCATTCTAACATAAAACTACTTTTTAAATCCTACAACTGTCTTGTCTCCCACGTTACCATTGACCTTGTTTTAATAGTGGTAAAAACAATATCTAAGCTCCTTTAATCAAAGAAGTGAACCAGAAGATCTGATGCAGTATGTGAGGAATATGAGATGGTGTTAGAAATGTCATATATAAACTTTTGTTAAAAGAGACCAAGAAAAGTATATAAAAGCTCAAATAAATACCAGCACCTTCAACATGGGTAGATGAAAGCTATATATATTGTATAATTTGTCCGGTTTAGACAGAACTATTCCGTGACTTGCTTTAACAACTACAAATAAAGAAACACAGATTTCTTCCTTAATGCATTATTCCTCTAATCATGATTTTCTTTTTCTTTTTTTATTTGTCCGCAGGCAGACTGGATCATAAATAATCTCCTGCTTAGCATTCAGAGTTTTTGTGATGCATTGGCTCAAAAACTCCTTTTTATTATTAGCAAATTGTTGCTGTTCATAAATTGCAGCAATTGCTGCTGCGAGCAAGAGCAATTTTCATTCATAGGCTCCAGCTTTCTTTATTTGTAATAGGGATAATACTTTATATTGCTCATATACATGTGGTGCCTATTATGTCACTAAAGTTAGTTCTGGAGCTTGACGGTGTAAAGACAGGGGGATGGCCACTATAAGTTTCACCAAGTAACGTTTGCACCTTATCTTCAGCTGTACCAATTGCAGTATTGTCTGTAGTAATCACACATTCTGTTTCTATGAGAGGAAAGAATATAAAAAAAAACTGTTATTGTGCTCATCACTTCTTTATAGTATTTTCACTGGGTCAGATGTCATTATTTTCAATCTCTTTCTAAAGAAAATATCTGTAATTTTCAGTTGTGAATGGCTGGAACTGATTTTACTAATGTCCTTGGTACAAAGCACATCATCTTTCCAATTTAGAAGTAATAATGAAAAACCAAAGTAATAAAATTCCCTTCTCACTCTGTTCAAAGCTGTAAAACAGAGGGAGCTGTTCTGATAATTTATTGCACACACACACACACACTAGTACTACATGCACATAAACAGAATACACAGACCCCGAAATAGACACATACACACTTCAGAGAACTACAAACTTTTAAATTAGCCAATCATCAGAAATCTCTTTCTCAAAAAGAGAGGTGACTCTTCTTTTGATGCCTTACTGCCTAACAGTCTGACACGCTCAGTGGGACTTGCTGCAGGTTCAGGGGCAGACACAACTTCTGCTTCTTCTTCTGTGGTTTCAGATGGTGCAGCAGCTTCAGTTTTTGTCTCCTCTACCTCTTCCAATGCTGTTTCTGTGTCAGCCACTGGGGCAGCTGCGGGCATTCTCTTTACCATTACTTTGTCCTGCACCGTGGCTGGAGTATCAGTAAACTTCACAGGATCCATACCTAAAAGTGTGCACTCATTCTTATTGTTTGGATTCCATGCTAGCTCACCTTTTGGAGACTCCTGAGATTCCATGCAACTTTCCCTTCTGAGAACTCCAGGCTCCAATCAAGCTGTAACAACACATCCATTCCTAACAATGGCTGACATGCCTGTCCAATCCATAAATTAGTGACAACTTCAGCAGGCCCAACAGACAAAGTCACAGGTCGTGTTTTCTGAAAACACATCCTTTCTCCACCAGTGCCATATGCATATTGGGTATCAGATGTTAATGGAAGAGACTCGCCTTTAAATATGACAGAGGAATAATCGTCAACTCGGCTCCAGTATCCAACAGAAACTCAACCTCAAACTTATTGTTAATGGTCGTACTCACATACAATCCATCCTTACGTGGCCTCACTGCAGCCACAAGAGCGCGCTGCGAGGCCTCCCTTAGTTTCCCTGGAACGCAGAAAGTAAGGGTTATTAGTCCTCAACATTAATATTGTTGATGTTCAAACCGGTGTCACATTTCACAGGTGAAGAGAATGACTTGTCAACATGTACACCGTTTTAATAAATTAAACATGAAATAATTCGATAGCAGTTTTACCTCACCTTTCCTTTCATGTAATGTCATCCTTGGTAACTTCAATTATAAAATGTATTTTTGTGGACAATGTATAATAGGTTCACCTGATGATCTCTTGTGGTATTAGCTGTTGCAAAGTGGTTGTGGACCACTGTTCTAAGGGTCTGTAAAACTTTGCTCTTGAAAAAATAAATTTAGATTACTATAATTTATTATATGCCTAAAATACAATCCAATCCACTGGTAGATGATGTATTTTCTTACATCATCAGACTCCCCTTTCTGTTTGCTATGTCTTGCATTTATATCATTTTCCTCTTTCTTTCAGGTGAAGTTTGGGCGGTTTGGTTTTGTCTGGGATGCAGCCGTGCTGGACTATGTGGCTAATAATGACGAGGACTGTGCCTTCTACACAGTTAGTAGCAACTCACCAGACCGCGGATATGGTATTGCCATGCAACACGGCAGCCCCTACAGGGACATTTTCTCCCAGAGGTAAGAGTGGCTACAGTAAACAGCACTCAGCAGCATCCTTGAATGCTTTTGTTTGTTATGTAAGGCACATTTTACATGAATAATAATTGGGCCATCACTTTGGTTTCTCACTACTTATCTCTGTGCTAACCTGAGTTTTAGGTCAAGAAAGTTTTTAAGGTTTTATAAGAACTGTGAAAAACTGCAAAAATAAATAATATATATATATATATACATTTATATATACAGTATATAGTATGGCATGCCGTTCAGGAAATTAAGCTTTGAATATATATACAAAATGTGGCGTTTTGGCCCTGAGGCAATGTCTCTGTCGCTGTGGAACCCCAGGGTTCACCTCCTGGGCAAGTTCGAATCCCAGTTAGGGTGGTTGGTACCTTCCAGTGGACTCACCACCTGCAGGAAGGTTTGAGAGGTTGGTGCGGTGCAATGTGATTTGGGTGGCGACTGTTGCCCAAGTGACCCGGTAACGGATAAGCGGATGAAAATGGATGGATGGATGGATGAATATATATACAAAAAGTCTGAATATATATTCAAAAATCCTGAATATGTATACATAAATCCTGAATATATATATATACACATAAATCCTGAATGTATATACAAAAAGTCTGAATATATATATATACAAAAATATGAAGTGTATTTGACCACACTGTCCGTATCGGTGTGCAGCTATGCCTGCACAACCCGCACAAAAAAAAGTATAAGAAGTAACAAAGAGTGAAAGATGTTCATACAGAATCTGCTTGTGTTGCTTTGATGTATTTTTTTTTTTTTTTCATACTTTATACGTCCCGCTACGTGAGCACAAGATACAGGAGCCTGGCGCGTTGTGCAGGCGTAGCTGCGCACCAATGTGTACAGTGTGGTCAAGTATGCTTCATATTTTTGTATATATATTCAGACTTTTTGTAAATATATTCAGGATTTTTGTATATATATTCAGGATTTTTGTATATACTCTATATTCAAATTTTTTGTATATATATTTAAAGATTAATTTCCTGAACGGCATATATATATATGTATATATAGATATATATATATACATATATATATATATATATATATATATACACACACATATATGTATATATATGTATATATAGATAGATAGATAGATAGATATATGTGTGTGTGTGTATATGTATATAAAGATTAATCAAATTTTTCTGTTTTTATTAATGTTTTCCTGGACCCTGGATTATTGCCTCGAATTCGAATTTGAATTTTTTTCAACAGTATTTTGTGTAAAGATTCATACACGACAGCAATGAAAATGTGTAAGGGATTTTTTTCGTCACTTGCGGTCACTTTTATAAAGTCTTTGCTCCTGGAGTACATGACACCCCCCCCACCCCCCTTAGTTCTGGAACCAAGTAAACAGCAGGTTAAATTGTGCATATTTTTTCAACTTTGTTCCCAAAGATACAGACCAGAGGCACTTCAGTAGGTTCCCTCGCTTCATTGTGAACCACCGACTGACATTTAGGTTAAGGCACTGTGACACCACAGCTTCACAAATAGGAAGAGCTGACTGGGTGGATGTTATTTAAAGTGATACCAGCTGTTTATCTGGATGTTGTGGCACAGCTGTTGTGAGCTGCTGGTTGCTTTAAAATTGCATCAGTCTGAGACAATAGCCTGTCTGCACAGGCAGAATTCAGTAAGTTGGAGGAGCCACCTGTGTTTGTTGAGCCACACAGTGGTATGCACACATTCCTTACAGCAAGAAGTTCACTGATTTTCCTGTTCGATCACAAGTCTTTTTGTATAGTTCCCATGCAGGTTATTCAGATCATTCCCAAAACATGCAGAATTACAGGAAAAGGCCACTGTATGGTGAGGGGTTGTTGGACTTTGTATTGGGTCCCTCGGCACAATGTTTCCCACTCTCACTCATGAGCATGAAAAGGACTATGCAGGAGTAGATGAAGATTTCTGTAGTATTGTGTGGGTTTTTGTTTTTCCTTTTTGTGTGCTTTTCATTGCAATATCACTTAAATAAGGTACAATGATTCCCAACCGTTTTTGTCTTGTTGCCCCATTTAGCCATTTCTGACAACCCCATTTTAGACAACCCTAATTTTGAAAAACACTAATGTGTAAAGTGTTACCCCACAGACATTTAATGATTGATTGTATTATTTTAATACAACCATGTAAACGTTTACATCTACATAAATAGACAGAAAATTATTAATTGTGTTTCTTTGCTTACATTTTCATATGTTTCCCCCAGAATTATTGTATTATTCAAATTAAAAGAGCAGTGAAGCACAGAGTGAAGAACCAGTAATTCCCACTGGTTCATTAACAGTTTGAGACCTTAACTGGAAAATGCATTTGATTGTTCTCGATTATGTTTGGTTAAGTTGGTCATCACGGCGCCTGCCACTTGTTGATGTATCTTTTAAATTTTATGTAAAAGCATGTTTGTCTCTATTTTCTAAAAATAAATTATAGTAGAGCAATAATTTACAGGCTTCAAGATGTCGTCACAATAACCTGAGTAAACTAGCCAGCACATGCAACTCCAACCTGGGATGCATATGTATTAGGGCTGAGGTTTATGCAGTGGTTAGCTGGATAGCAGCTCCAATATTGAAGTAGACCTCCTTACATGTATAGATAAGGGTTATTTTAGGGCAAACAGGTTTTTCACTTTGATAGAAGCCAAAAAAAAAGTTGGTGATGTTAAATTATCCAGCAGCTGGCTTCTATATGTGTAGAAATGGTTCCAAAAATCCTGTGACAGCACCTCTCGAAAATACTGAGGAGAAATTTTGTGGAACAACTATATAAGCCCAGAAGTGCCTTAGTGTTATGATGTCTATAGTTGACACAGTCTGCAGGATCTTAAGGAATGATATGAGCATGCATTTGTTCTCATCAACACTGTACTGCACCGTAGGAGTTACATCAACAGAGGGGGATCTTTAAAGCTCTGCAGAAAAAAATAGAGCCTATGGGAGAAATGGTAGGAGCAGTGATGGGAGTCGTCTAATGAAATTGCCTGGGAGCAGATTCAGTGTACTGAAACTATAAACCGTAGGAGATTATCTCTACGACTGTCACTCTTCAGTTTTCTCTTTCTTTGCCGTTGATGTTTCATGTCTTGACACAGAAAGACACGACCTGACACGAATAATGATAAATGCAGCCTCAGGCTTTGTCAACAATACACTTTAAAATTATTGTTTTACATTAGTTTTTGAACTGGAGTACATACACTAGTAGTTATTCCATAAAACCTTCTTTTATATTTACTTTTATTATACTGATGTCTCAGCTTTCAGTTATATTCGGGTTGAATTTCTTTTTTATGCATTATGTATGTATGTGTACACACACAGCCTTGTTGATAATATACTGTAGTTTTGTTGGATATGGAGAAGTTAGATGGAAGTGTCAACTTTTGCTGTGATTATTATTATTATTTAAAAGTGATTTTCCTTGCGTTGACATGATGACAAAGACAATGTTCTGAGGGTACAATCAGTGCAATTCCATTACTGTCTTTATATGGTGTATTTGATGGTAATATAGAACAGATAATGTATAACTCTATACATCGTCTGGTCGATGACTGTGTTTGATGGAGACAGCCTCTAAATTTGCAAATACAAATAAAAAGAGTGGTGTAAAGGATCCATCCACTAATTTAAACTGACAGTTGTTTTGAAGTCAAAATATCAAAGTGAAGATTTAATCCATAGCACATTGGCTTTTTAAAATTGCTGCATCACAAAGAAGATAAACTGTGCGCCAGACCATATATGTCATGCTATGGTGACAGCCAAGGTCAGTCTAGATGATATTTCCATCTGTTATTATGTCCACGATGTCAGATTGGGTAATCGTAGTGACATAAATTTGTGATGTGCCAGACTTGACAAATTGCAGGATGGTGTCTGCCCTCGAGTTAACTTCATAATTGACATAATGAGGTTGGCAGATGAAGCAAAGGAGTCAAGACACAGGGCGAGACAACATTTTCAGTGATCAAACATTGGCCTTGCAGCTCCCGTACCAGACGGAGATGCAACTGGTCAGCAGGCTCTCGATGGTCCCTCTGTAGAAGGTGGAGAGGATGGGAGGGGGGAGGGAGGCCCTACTCATCCGTCGCAGGAAATGCAGGTGCTGCTGGGCTTTCTTCACTAAGGAGGTGGTGTGTAGTGACCAGCCAAGGCCGTCTGTGATGTGCACCCCCAGGAACTTGGTGCTGCTGACAACCTCCACTGCTCTGTCATTGTTGAGTATCAGTGTGTGGCTGGGTTGGGATCTGCTAAAGTCGACAATGATCTCTTTGTCTTGTTAATGTTCAGGAGTAGATTATCTGTCTGAAACCAGTCCACCAGATGACATACCTCCTCTCTGTAGGCCAGCTTGTTGTCATCCTGAATGAGGCCCACAACTGTAGTGTCATCCGCATTTAGTATGTGGTTGGTGTTGTGCCTGGGATGACAGTCATGGGTCATCAGGGTGAACAGCAGAGGGTTCGGATCTGGTGCTCAGGAAGATGACACTAGAGGTATTGTTGCCCCCTCGGACAGACTGGGTTCTGTCAGTGAGGAAGTCCAGCAGCCAGTTGCACAGGGGAGTGTTAGGCCACAGGGGGCCCAATTTGCATAATAGGTCCTGGTGGATGATCGTGTTAAATGCTGAGCTGAAGTCCAGAATCAGCAACCTTACGTGGGTGTTCTTTCCCTCCAAGTGCTCCAGGCTCAGGTGGAGAGAGGTAGAGATGGCATCCTCAGTGGAGCAGTTAGGCTGGTATGTGAACTGGAACAGGTCGAATGATGGGGGCAGTATGGTGAGGATGTGGTCCTTAAACACTTCATGATGGTGAGTGTTAGTGCAACAGGTTAGAAGTTGTTAATGCATGAGATGGTTGCTTTATTTGGCACTGGAATTATTTGAAGCATGAGGGGACGATGGCCTGGTTTAGTCATGTTTTGAAGATGTCATGATGAGCACGTGGGCCAGCTGATCTGCACACTCCTTGATCAGCCATCCTGGGATGTTGTCAGGACCTGCTGCTTTCCATGCGTTGACTTTTCTCAGAGCTCTCCGCACAGTAGTGGGTTCAAGCCTGAGGACCTGATCGTTGTGGTGGGGGGTAGCTTTCCTTGCTGGTATGTTGTTCAGAGCTTCTAATGTTCTGAAGAAGTTGTTGACCTCATTGAGGAAGCTGATGTCATCCTGGCAGGATGAAGGTGGGTTTTGTAGTCTG